ATTTCCAAATGGGCACAAGCACAACTGATGCTGATTCAGTAGCCATATGTTAAAAAGGTAGTGAACAGCAGCAATACTTGGGTGTCCCTACTGACAGCCAGGGTGCACACCATAGGCTCACTGCATATAATCCAGAAAACGTGGCAACTAGAAATATCCTTCACCAAATTTCTTTACTATCAGAACAGGATATTCAAGTGTCACTATACTGGATACCCTCTCATATGAGTATAGGAATATCATGCTATGATAGGGTTGATCAGTTAGCCAAATTAACACTTTCCCAAGAAAAAAACATATTATGTAGACCGCTATCGCTCAATAAAAAAGTGTTATCAGCTGTCTTCGAGATTGTGAGGGTCAGCTATGGTCCACTGAAAAGATGCAGAAAAAGCCTATTAAGTCTATCATGAACTATCTCGGAGAAAGCAAGTTATATTGACTAGGCTACGCATAGGATATCAGTACAGTGTACAATATGTACAGGATGCAGTTTTGGAGGCAAAGCCAATCTCATAAACCCTGCAAACTGTGCACGGCGCCCAAGTCGCAAAAACTTACCCATTACTTACTTTGCTGCACGGAAACTACATCCTATCGATCAAGTAGTACTGTCCACAGACTTACTGGTTATATCAGTTTTATTATAGACATTCGTCTTATCTTTCACATGATTAGTGATATAAAACTAGATGATATTCTAATAGTGCAGTGACAGTGAAACAGCCCTTCAGGCATGTGTATAAAGCTCTTAGTTTGTCTGTCTCTCCCTTTCCATCCCTTCATCTCTCCTCTCCCCCTCCAGAACTCCGACTCCCCCTTGTACAAGGCGGCCTGGCAGATCCTCCTCCAAGGGGCGCCGGACAGTTTCGCTTCTCACTACGAGGCTTGTCTCGCCCACGCCCTGTCGCGGAGGAGCGCCTGCTTCTTGGAGATGAATGAGTATATGTACGAGTAAGTAGCCTGGGGTCTGGGGCCTTGCTGCGGGGGGGGGGGGGTGGCTTTCTTTGGTCATTAGGTTATGGCTTTGGGAAATGTGTGTTTGTGGATGTGGATGAATTAGTAGGGAGGTAGATAAATAGATAGATAGATAGAGCGAAACAAAAGGAACAGCAAGAGCCGAGCGCCCGCCGACCCCCTCATCTGCCTCGCTTCTCCCGCAGGTACAGCAAGGACGCGCGCCTGGTGGCCCTGACGGAGGAGAGGTACGGCGAGTTCATCGTCGGGCTCGGAGTGGCTCAGGGGTCGCCGCTCAAGGACATATTTAATGCAGAGTAAGGGCACCGGGGAAGGCTCTCTCTCTTGCTCCTTCGCTCTTTCGCTCACTCTCGCTCCTTCGCTCTCTCTCTCGCTCCTCTCTCTCTCTCTCTCTCGCTCTCTCTCTTTCGCCCCTTCGCTCTCTCTCTTTCGCTCCTTCGCTCTCTCTTTTTCGCTCCTTCGCTCTCTCTCTTTCGCTCCTTCGCTCTCTCTCTTTCGCTCCTTCGCTCTCTCTCTTTCGCTCCTTCGCTCTCTCTCTTTCGCTCCTTCGCTCTCTCTCTTTCGCTCCTTCGCTCTCTCTCTTTCACTCCTTCGCTCTCTCTCTTTCGCTCCTTCGCTCTCTCTCTCTCTCTTTCTTTCGCTCCTTCGCTCTCTCTCTTTCGCTCCTTTGCTTTCTCTCTTTCGCTCCTTTGCTCTCTCTCTTTCGCTCCTTCGTTCTCTCTCTCTCGCTCCTTCGCTCTCTCTCTCTCTCTCTCTCTCTCTTTCTTTCGCTCCTTCGCTCTCTCTCTTTCGCTCCTTTGCTTTCTCTCTTTCGCTCCTTTGCTCTCTCTCTTTCGCTCTCTCTCTTTCGCTCCTTCGCTCTCTCTCTTTCGCTCCTTCGCTCTCTCTCTTTCGCTCCTTCGTTCTCTCTCTCTCGCTCCTTCGCTCTCTCTCTCTCTCTCTCTCTCTCTCTCTCCGGCTCTTTTGAGCTTTCTCTCGCTCTCTCTCTCTCTCTCACACCCCCTCCCCTCTCTCTCTCCTGTATTTTCCCGTTGTTTTATTTTCATTAACAATTTGCGTACTTGATTTCCATAAAAAAAACTTTGTAAAATCTTATAGGAGTCACATTGTTTGTCATATTACTTGACATTCAAAAATGTTTTATAGATAACCATCCCAAATGAGTATAATGAAAGGACATTGCAACAATAATCATGATGACGATACTGCTGCTACTGATGATGATGATGACGAAATTGACGATGGAGATGATGATGACGAAGGTGATGACGATGATGAAGGTGAAGACGACGACGAATGGGATGACGATGACGGTGATGATGACGAAGATGATGACGAAGACGATGATAACGATGACAAAGGTTAAGATGATGAAGGTGATAACGATGGGGGGGGGGGGTTGAAGGTGAGGATGAAGGTGATGACGAAGACGAAGGTGATGCCGATGAAGGCGTTGACGACGACGAAAGTGATGCTGTTGATGAAGATGACGAAGGTGATGACGATGGCGAAGGTGATGACGATGGAAGGTGACGATGAAGAAGGTAGTACCGATGGCGAAGTGATGACGATAACGGAGGTGAAGATGACGATATCGACAGTGATGACAACGACGCTAATGAAAGCACTCCCCCCTCCCTCCCCTCCGCCCAGACTCCTGAGGATGAGGGCGACGGGCATCCTGGACAAGATCCTCCGCCGGTGGGAGAGCGCCCCCCCTCCCCCTCCCTCCCCGTCGGTCCCGGCGATGACCCTCGGCTCCACGGCAACGGCCTTCGTCGTCATGGTCCTCGGGCTCGCGGCGTCCCTCGTGGTCCTCCTGGGCGAAGTCGCGGTCTTTCGGCACCGCGAGGCCCCGGGGGAGTGACGCGGAGGGGGGGGGGAGTGGGCGGTGTCGGTTGGAAGGGCATGTTGGGCACTTTGCAATTAGAGCGGATTCCTCGTGGATCGGCTTGGATGCTTTTGTAGATATAGATCATAGTGTTGCAAAATCATGCAACAAAGTGTGCAGGCAACTCATTACAGAACTGGAAATCACGAATATTTGTACTTGTACTTTATTATAAAAACTGCATGTGTTTGCATGGAATGTATACTTTAAATCGTAACCAGGATTCGCGATAGTAAATGTGATAATAGTTACTACGTTATGGTAGCAATAAGAATACATATAATAATAAATAATGATAATGTTAACCGTAATGAATAGTAATAATGGATAGTAATAATTGTAATAATGATAAGTATGATAATAATAATAAGAGTAATGATGATAATAATGTCAATGATAATAAAAATAATAATGATGATAGTATTAATTATGATGATAATACTATTAATAATGAGAATAATGAATGTCAGTAAGCATTATCGTGAACATGATGAGATTAATAATTAGAAAATTAACGAGAATGATAACAACACTATAGGTGAAAATACCGACAGCAGTATACATAATGAACATAATAGCATTAAAGGTCAATGCCTAAGAGTGGTTACCTTTAGTGACACTTTTTTTTTGTATTATATGAATATCCCAAGGAATCCTAAACATTTTCTTTAAATTAGATTTCTCGAAAACTTGTGTTGGTAGACACAAGACATATATTACTTATCGTTATTTCTAAAATCAAAATAAACAATACGAGTCAATAATAGATATTCGAGCACACACCGTCAGCAAATTTTGTGGACAAATTCCATGTTTATGGATATACTGTGAATCATTGCTCTACATTACAACATTTACCCATAGCCTGAACTTGCATAGCTTGGACCACTCAAAGCTTAGTTTTATTTATACTCACTAGTTGTAGTACAATAACATAATGTTAAACTGTTATAAGGAACATTAATGATGATATTGACAATAACAAATATCTTCATTTTATCATTTTAGTTTTAGTTATACCTATCAATTTCTTTTGCATATTAATTACTCCGCTGTATATTAAAGTAATTGAAAACTTATACTTGGTTCATTTGCTAAGAAATATTACTATTTTTTTGTCACTGCTCTAACAGATTAGGCTTTAAAATCTTGCTCCTCCTCCTATTATTATTATTATTATTATTACTATTATTATTATTATTATTATTATCATTATCGTTATTATTATTATTATTATCATTATTATTATTATCATTATTATCACTGCTATTAGCATTATCATTATCATCACCATCATCATTATTATTATTATCATTATTATTGTAATCATTACCATTACCATTATTATCATCATTATTACTATCATTACTATTATTCTTACTTTCATTATCATTATCAGCATCATCATAATTATGATAATAATGATAATTATTATTACCATTGTATCATTATTATATCATATTTATTATTATCATTACCATTATTACGATTATCATTATTATTATCATCATTACTATCATCATTTTTACCATTACTTATAATTGTTATTATTAGTATCATTCTTCTTCTTCTTATTATTTTTATTATTATTTATGTTTACTACTGTCATCATCATCACCATCATCATTATTATTATTATTAGTAGTAGTAGTAGTATCATCTTTATTATTATTTCTGCTATCAATGTTATTATCATTATTGTTATTTTCATTAGTATCGTTATTATTGCTATTATCATAGTATTATCATTACCATTAATCTTGTTCTTAATATACTTATTATTATCATCCTCAGCAGCATTATTATGTTATCATTGTTATCATTATCATTATTTTCATCATCATTATCATTAATATTATCATCATTTCCATTATTATCATTATCATTATCACTTTTATCATTATGATTACAATTAATATCATTACTGTTATTACTGTTAATGTTATTAAGCATAATTCATTCACATTTTTTGGAGTTCTTGTGCAAGTCCTACAAATTTCTATACTTTACTTACCCTCATACATATGTAACTCTGTATTGCACATTGAAGAAAATGAAAGAGGAGAGGCATGAATATATTGATAGCTAAAAAAGGATGAAGGATACAAAAGGTGATAGATTTTTTTTTTTTTTCAAATTTATTCAACAGATCATTATTTGTTACATCTAAGGACTTGATGTATAAAAGCTGTTATATATGTTAATTCTTTACTGATCTATCTATTCATCATTATCACTACTAGTTTAATCCAATTCGTAAGCACCATACTTCAAGTATATAAGATACAATTATATATATAACTCACTATAAATCTAGTATGAAGTTTGCTAACAATGCCCTGGACTCACAGGGAATACTACTTGCTATTCTTGCTTTGTTCTTCATTAAACCTTGTATTTATCATTAGTCTGAAGGGTATTTGGGGGAATTCCCACTGTCACTTACTATAATCTGACGAGTATTGAAGCAAGTTAACTTTAATAAGAGGAACTATTGATGTAATGTAAGATACAAATTCATAGTAAAGTTGCCTGGATTAACCGACAGAGGTGCCCAAGCCTGATCCTTGCCTGCCAGGTTGAAGGGTCATTTCGGGGCTCGGGTCTTAAACTAAAGGTTTGCGTTTTTATGTATGGATATCATTACATACATATATACAATATATTATGTATGTAACATACGCTATGCGCGATAGAGAGAGAGAGAGAGAGAGATAGATAGGTAGATAGATAGATAGATAGAGAGAGAGAGAGAGAGGAAGAGAGAGAGAGAGAGAGAGAGAGAGAGAGAGATCAAAGCAGCCACGAACGCCTCGATAGACCCTTAGACATCCTTTTAACAGCCTACGTCCGCCTCTCAATGACGAATTTCTGCTCAAGAAAGAGGTTTCGCGGAGACACCTCCACGCCCTCAGGAGCCGAGAAGGAAAAGTTCTTCAGGAGCGCCGCAGTGAAGATGAACAGTTCTACGTTGGCGAGCTGTTCTCCAAGGCACACGCGTCGCCCTGGAGTGAACAAATATGTTATGAGAACGAAACTCACGTACAGATGAAGTTAAACTCGTATACTGTATTGGCGAGAATACACTATACATACACTGAATTCATAGACCATATAAACATCGTTAATAGGATATGAACTTAAAATCGAACATCAAATTAAGCACTTATTACTTATAAATCATCAGTTCTATTGATAATACTATGTCAACCTTATTTCATAAGATGGCCTATAAATTTTGAAATAAAAGTTCAGCACATTTAACATAACTGTTCAATAAAGTAAACACGATAAAAATAATAGGAATATCAGTGTCCAACAGTACCAGTAATAGCACTAAAATGATAATGGCAGTATTTCATAATTACAATAATGAAAATAAGGACAATGGAGACAAAACTAGCAACAAAAACTGCAGTAATGTTAATAATGATGGTAATAATAATAATAGTAATAAAAATGATAATAATGATAATAACAACAATAATGATAATAATAACAATAATAATAACAGTGATAATTACGATAATAATAATAATATAATACAACAATAATAATGGTAATAAAAACAATGATGATAATATTTATGATAATAGTGTTAAGTTATAACAAAAAATGATTTTAACAATAACATGATAATGATAATGATGACAAAAATAACAATAATGATAATGATAGCAATAATAATAATGATGATGATAACAATGATATTAATAGTGATAAAATGGTAAATAAGATAATAATAATAATCACAATAATAACAATAACAAAACAACAATGATAATAATGATAAGGATAATAATAATGATTCCAGTATTAATGATGATAATAATAATAACAATAATAATAATGATAATAATAATAATGGTGATGATAATGATAACAATAATAATAATAATAATAATGATAATGATAATAATAATGGTGATGATAATGATAATAATAATGATAATAATAATAATAATAATAATAATAATGATAATAATAGTAATAATAACAATGATAATAATGATAATAATAATAATGATGATATTAATAATAATAATAACAATAATAATAATAATAATAATAATAATAACGATAGTGATGATATTGATACATAAAATCAATAATGATAATGGCAATAATAGTTATATGAATAATAACAATACTAATGATACTATTAATGAGATTAGTCATAACAACAGCAGTAAAAGCAACAAACCAACAGTAATAAGAAATAAGTAATAATTATAAAAAAACGGCAATAATAATGAAAGTACAAGTAAAAGCAATAATAGCATAATCATTAACAACAACAGCATCAGCAACAACAATGACAATAACAAAAAAGATAATGCTAATAAAGGATACTTAATAATAGTGATAATAATGACAGTAATAACAACAATAGGAATTAGTAGCAAAATTAACAACAACCATCGCCATCACCACCAAGAAGAAGAGAAGAAGAGAAGAGGAAGCAGAAAAAAAAGAGGAAAAAAGGAAAAGAGGAAGAAAATAAGAAGAAAAGGAAAGTAGAAAAAAGCAGACGGAAAACAACACCACCAACATGACCATCACCAACACCAACAGCAACGCCACCTACCCACAGAGAAGGGCAAGAAGCCGTCCTTTTTCGAGACGACCTTGCCCTCGTCGTCCAAGAAGTGCTCGGGGCAGAACTCCAGGGGGCGGTCCCAGTAGGCGGGGTCGGTGTGGCAGCAGTCGATGTGGCTCATTATGAGGGCGTCCTGGCGAGAGTGATGCCAACAATGGTATTGCTGGTTACGATGCTAGTTGGTAATTGTAATGAATGATAGTGATGGCAACGGTAA